TTTTTTTTTTTGTACTTTGGACCCTGTGGCACATGTGCCCAGCCTGCATCCTGCAGGATTGTTGCTTAAGTACGTACATGCCACATCCCCACGCCCCCATCCCCCAAACCCCCCACCCCTGTCGCCTACATCAGGCGTTTCTCCCAGTGTTATCTCTCCCTATCTGCCCTGCCCCCCCGCACTGTCCCTTCCCTCCCCCCTCCACCTCCCAACCTAGCCCACTGAGTGTTGTTCCCTTCCCTGTGCTCAAGTGTTCTCATTGTTTATCACCCACCTATGAGTGAAAACATATGGTGTTTGGTTTTCTGTTCTTGTGTCAGTTTGCTGAAAATGATGGTTTCTAGATTCATCCATGTCTCTACAAAGGACACAAACTTGTTTTTTATGGCTGCATAGTATTCCATGTTATATGTGTGCCACATTTTCTTTGTCCAGTCTACCATTGATGGGCATTTGAGTTGGTTCCAAGTCTTTGTTATTGTAAACAGTGCCATAACAAACATACGTGTGCATGTGTCTTTATAATAGAACAATTTATAATCCTTTGGGTATATACCCAGCAATGGGATTGCTGGGTCAAATGGAATTTTCCTATTTCTAGATCCTTGAGTACTTGCCACACTGTCTTCCATAATGGTTGAACTAATTTATGCTCCCACCAACAGTGTAAAAGTATTCCTTTTTCTCCACATCCTCTCCAGCGTCTGTCGTCTCCAGAATTTTTAATGATTGCCATTCTAACTGGTGTGAGATGGTATCTCAATGTGGTTTTGATTTGCGTTTCTCTAATGATCAGTGATGATGAGCATTTTTTCATATGTTTGTTGGCCTTATAAATAAAAATATTTTCACATTTTAATAAAAAATTCACAATAAATATATATAACATGTTAATCTTACATATCTACATCTTTTTTGGTTACTAGTTTATTTCCTGTGATCAAAGAAACCTAAGATTATTTTACCAAAGCATTTTTCCTGAGTTTACTAAATAATTACTGATTACAAAAACTTGTAATGATTTGGGTCATACACAAGAAAAGGCACAGGATGAATCACTGGAGATTATTCTGATATTACTTAGATACAGTATATACCTGCCTTACAGGCATCTTGGTCATATCTTTGAATATTTTTTTTCTGTGTATTCTGAATGCCTGATCTTCTAAAAAAATATTTTTAAGATTATTTTGCCTTTGGAACACATTCAATATATTTATTAAAAAACTTACATAAGTAGGTACATAGCACAGAATCAATTCTTACAGATTAAAAGTAGCATGATAGACTTGTAGTAGTTGGCCTAAATGCATAAGCCCTCTTTATTTGTGAAGTAAACTCTAAAACAGTTCAGGATTTTTTTTTAAATGACAAGTAATGCATGCCTACATGGCCTTCAGAGAACCTTGATAATTACAGATTGATGCTTAAGCAGTAATAGTTTTTATAATGTAATATGAAATTTTGACAATTTACTAAAATATGATATTGTAAACTCAGTTAAATTTTGAAGAAGTGTATACCTGCTTTTTTTTTTTTTTGTAATCTCTTTGGTGATTTATATTCTGTCAGTTTTCTTGGAGAAAGCAAATGAGCATAGAATTATGTTTTATAGTTAGCTAAACAAATCAATGCTTTATATTAATCAGTGGGATTGTTTTTAACTTTTGATTCTAAAATTTGTTACAGATGTTAATTAAGGTATTGTAGATGTATGTAATGCTTGAGATAATTATGCCATAATATAACAGTGTTAATGTTCTTGTAAGAGAGACCACCTTGTAAAATAATTTGAAAAAATACGTATTTTACTACTTTAAAAATACTTTTGAAGCAATGTTAAGCTTTCCTATTCACTTTTTAAAATGTGAATTTCTAGTTCATTACTTTGATGTTTTGAATAAGAATCTGAAACAGTGTGTACTCATAACATTTGTACTGATATTATGAAACTCATTTCATTTTTAATTCTTTGAATCAAAAGAAACATTTGAATGTTTTGTATGGTTAATGTTTTACTGCGGTGTGTTTTATTTACTACCTTTCGTTAAATGCCATTATTTTTCCATTTAGTTTTGCTGGTATTTTATTTTGTGGAGATTTACCAGTGAGTTGCTACACATTTGCTTTGAGTTTCCATGATAGCTTATGATTTCGTTTCTATTCCTCAGAATTATGAGTTGACTTTGATGATGACTCTGATTTAAAATTGTTCTACAATGAAGTGGTTCAGTAGTAGAAGTTTACTCTTTTGAAAGCATAGTTTATTGAATTAATAGTATTTTATTCTTAAATAGTTGGAAATAAAGACAGTTTTTCTAAAATCTTTTCTAATCCTTCAGATCTAATATTACTTGGAGCTGTTTAGTATTGACTAGTTTCATCTGTTTTTAGAATCATTATATTTCTTTTGAAAAATTAGGTTTTGAAGATTTTGAGTCTTCCTAGTACAATTTTTTATGCACATGTTGATAATTTTGCAGCTATTATGTAGATCCAAAGAATCTCTCTGGTTTATCTACCAATTCTAACTCATAATACAAACTTTCATTTTGACTATCCTTCTTTCCACTTTGGTGGGCATTAAGCAATGCATTTTTTAGGTATATACTTAAGATTTGCAAATTAACTTTCTTCTTAGAGAAATGAACAGAGATGATTTCCCTTCATACCACCAATCCTGACTCCCTTTGAGTGCCTTTTATTGTGAGCATAGCCTCTGCAGTGAGAGGAAAGCGTTAAATGTGGGGTTTTAAAGAATCTCGGGCTTGATACTTACAGTCCTTTAATTAACATATCTATTCTCAGAAGTAAAAAAAAAATGTTATTTTAAAATATTAAAAGTTAACTAGAATTCATCTGGGACCAGAAATATATTAAAAGATTCCTAGACAAATATAAAGTTTGTATAGAGCTGAGTATAGAAGACACACAAGGCACAGAGGAGTCTTTTCTAAACACTGAGATCCAGAAACTTTGCCCACCCACAAAGCCATGAGGCTAACCACATGTTAAATGTTTAAGTAGTTTACCAGTTTATAAGAGTAAATGGGCTACCTTTCATTAAAATGAAATTAGATATTCTTTCTTGGAGGGCAGAAGGATAGCCTTATCTTTTCTATGTATACGTGAGAAAGAACTGTTGGAAATGTCATGCTGCACGGGAAATACTATTTTATTGTAATTTCTATGTAGTGAATTAATAAACAGTACAAAAAGACATCAAAAATACCTAGTTGATAAGTAGCTATAAGCAAATTTGCAGAACTCAACCTACATGAAATATTTGGCTGTATTTCAATGGATGCAAGCCTGTCCTGGCTGTAAGGTTATTTTATTAAGGCAACAAAATTTACATTTCTCTTGAGTTACCCTTTTGTAACCTTCTGCTGTGGTTGTATTAATGTGCCCTGTGTGTGTGTGTGTGTGTGTGTGTGTGTGTGTGTGTGTGTGTGTGTG